TTTTTTACCGGCTCCGTCGCCGTTGTTTGACCAGTTCCGGCTCCGGCTCCCATCCTGGAGCCGTTTTTTTCTTGCCGTTTCCGGCCGCCGTGTTTTGCCGTTTCCATTTTCAAGGGACACTTTTTTGGAAACGGTGAAAATCAGCGCCCCTCAAACGGGGACTCCACTAATGGGTACTTTGGCCAGTGACCCAGCGAACCCACCCCTTCCCGATGTGGGCAAAGCTGCAATGCAAGAAAAAGGCCCTAAAGTGGCAACTTTCGGCAAAATTTCAAAATACCCGTTAGTAAGTACCCGTTACGGTGCCGTTGAGAAAAAACGGCCCTGCCGTTTCCGGGGCCCACACAGCCTCCGCCCTCCTGCAGCCCTCCCGCCACGCCCTGCCGCCCTCGCGGAGAGGGCGCTGCCGTGCCAGCCGACCTCACGCGGGCCAGTCGCGAGTCTTCTCGGCCTGCGGCGGGGCGCGGCTCGCTCCGCTCCCGAGGCCCCGTCGGGAGAACCGGAAGAGTGAAGGGGCCCAGGGACACACAAATAAATACACACAAATGAAAAGATTCCCCATAGTTTCCCATATGTTCTAGGTTTCTGTCTTCCCGCCCAATTCCCATATTTTTCCATATTTTCCTGGGAGGCGACGATTACTTGTGTCTGTGTGTTTTTTCCCCTTCTGAAAGAGGGCCAGCCGATGGGACGCACAGAAACATGCTATACTATCTGTCCTCCCTGGAGGCGCGCGTCCGACCCGAACATCTAGTATACCCATCTTGCAGTGTATCGTTTCCCGAGCGGTGCGGCCAGAAAGCGCCCGCCATGATGCATACACTATCAGATGTCTCGGTGCGCGCGTCGCCCCGGAGGGGGCGACGCACACACAATATAAGTATGTTGGGGTGACGCCGATGCTTCGTTTCTGTGTTGGCCTTCTGGAGGCGTCTCGGCTTCTCCTCGCAACGGTCGAAAAACTTGTCAGGATGGACCTCAGAAAGGGGACCAGGGTCAGATGTTCAGCAGATCTGGGCTGGCGGGAGAGCCGCCGTTATCTTATCAACTGGCTCTCTTCCGAGAGGCACAGTGGTAGTGGTAGTTTCGCAGAGTTTGCTGGCTTTTGGATGCTGAAGGCTCTGATCAAATATCTAAGCCAGACTGCGAATAGACCTGGAGAGTGTGGCAACTGTATGAACACAGGCACTGAGCGACGACGCAACGCGCCCGAACCCAGCAACCGAATGCGAAACGGGGCGGCCCCGCCACCCATGCTCTGGATGGGGCAATAATCCCCCCCCCTTGGATCCGCTGAGGGGGTTGGGCACGTGCTGTCGGAATGGGTAGAGGGAGGGTTGCAGGAGGAGAAGGAGGAGGAGGAGAAGGAGTAGGGGGAGAAGTAGGAGGAGGAGGAGGAGGACAGGAGGAGGAGGGGGGTGGGGGAAAGGGCAAGGTCCGTCGGAAGGTTAGTCGCCCACCCCTCGATTAATATCCCACCCCTCGATTAATATCAGGAGAAACGCAGATGGGGAGAAGGGGGGCCAAACCAAAACCTTCTGTGATCTGCAAGAGTCAGGCCACGGGTGCTTCGCCACATGGAGCCTCCAGAGGGCGTGCGGTCTCTGGGCCCATCCATGGGCTATCCGAGAGGAGGAACTGGTCCCTGGGAAGGGGTCGAGCGTTCTGGGACTCGCACATGAAAACAATAGCGATATTGGAGGTCTGGAAACGAAGGGGGAGAAGGCACCCCGGACAAATGACTTGAACGTCGTGCGCGAATTGGGCACTGCGCCATCCGCCTGGACACTTTTACTCCGACGCGGAGATGGGTGCAGTCACCAGTTAAGCATTGCTACGGATCTCGCGTGCACAGAATTGATCATTCCATATGGGCACGCGAACATCATCATAAACCTCATTGAGCGCCAAAGACTGCACACGCACACACACACACACACACACACACGCACGCACACACACACACGCATACACACACTGTTTGCTTCCCTGCTGGTTGATCCAACGCAGCGAATGATAAGACACGGCACGCCGAAGGTGAACTAGCACTGAACATTGGCTAGTGATGGGACACCCGCACAAACACAAACAGGTTCGCGTATCAAGTTAAGACGGGACGTTCGCTCCACATCGGCTCTATACGCTTGCCAAGGAGGAACGTCGATGCAATCTGAATTGGTATAACGCACGCTCGGAACAGACCTCACGAGGCCTCCAGTCGGTCCACGACTCAGACTCGGTGGTGGGAAGGGCCGAAGGCCACTACATCCGCCGCCCCCGTAGCAGAGGAGTGCTGGGCATGCAGGATGCTCTGGCACTTCCTGGCCCTTCCGGAAGATTCCCGGTGGTCTTCGGCTCAACCCGCTGGCCGCCCAGAATGCCGCACGGAGCGCCGAAAAGTCCACAACGCCGGCCTTGCAGACGTCGAAGAGGGTGTACGACAGGTTCGCATCGTGTCGACCCTGGCGTCGGTTCCTGACACTCAACGATCAGCCGTTCCATGCACGACGCATCGTTCAACGACGGGCCGATTCTCGGCCACGGGCGGCGTTTAACCTTACACGCACAAGCTGGGGTCGCCGCCGGTCGACGCGACGCGAACCTGCCGTAAGATGGCCCGATGCGGCTTCAAATGATCTCCACGACAGTGCAAGAGGCCCCATACGAGCCCAAGATGGCCCAAGAGGGCCCCGAGACGGCCCGAGACGGCCCCGAGAAAGCCCAAGACGACCTCAAGACGGTCCAAGGGACTCCAAGAAGGCCAAGTATAGGTTCAAAGGGGCTCCTGGACGAGCCTCAAGAAGGAACAAGCAAAGTGTTCCGTATGCTTCTGTGCTGTTGGTGAGGATGTGTGTGCGTGTGCGTGTGCGTGTGCGTGTGCGTGTGCTTGTGCGTGTGCGTGTGCGTGTGCGTGTGCGTGTGCGTGTGCGTGTGCGTGTGCGTGTGCGTGTGCGTGTGCGTGTGCGTGTGCGTGTGCGTGTGCGTGTGCGTGTGCGTGTGCGTGTGCGTGTGCGTGTGCGTGCGTGCGTGTGCGTGTGCGTGTGCGTGTGCGTGTGCGTGTGCGTGTGTGTGCGTGTGGTGTGGGTGTGGTGTGGTGTGGGTGTGGGTGTGTGTGGGTGTGGGTTGTGGGTGGTGGGTGTGGGTGTGGGTGTGGGTGTGGGTGTGGGTGTGTGTGGGTGTGGGTGTGTGTGGTGTGGGTGTGGGTGGGGTGTGTGGGTGTGTGGGGTGTGTGGGGTGTGGGGTGTGGGGGTGTGTGGGGTGTGTGTGTGTGTGTGTTGTGTGTGTGTGTGTGTGTGGGGGTGGGTGTGTGGTGTGTGTGTGTGTGTGTGCGTGTGTGTGTGTGCGTGCGTGTGCGTGTGCGTGTGCGTGTGCGTGTGCGTGTGCGTGTGCGTGTGCGTGTGTGTGCGTGTGCGTGTGTGCGTGTGCGTGTGCGTGTGCGTGTGCGTGTGCGTGTGCGTGTGCGTGTGCGTGTGCGTGTGCGTGTGCGTGTGCGTGTGCGTGTGCGTGCGTGTGCGTGTGCGTGTGCGTGTGCGTGTGCGTGTGCGTGTGCGTGTGCGTGTGCGTGTGCGTGCGCGTGCGTGCGCGTGCGCGTGCGCGTGCGCGTGCGCGTGTGCGTGCGCGTGCGCGTGTGCGTGTGCGTGTGCGTGTGCGTGTGCGTGTGCGTGTGCGTGTGCGTGTGCGTGTGCGTGTGCGTGTGCGTGTGCGTGTGCGTGTGCGTGTGCGTGTGGGTGTGGGTGTGTGTGTGTGTGTTCTCGCCGTTCTGGGCCTGCGACAGCCCAAGAGGCATCCACGATGGCCCCAAGACGGCCTAAGAGCCATCCAAGATGGGCTCAGAGCGTCCCGAGATGACTAACGATGCCCCCGAGACGGCCCCACGACGGCCCAAAAAGACCTCAAGGCCGCCCTTGAAAGGCCCCAAAGGGCCCCAAGACAGCCCTGAGATGCCCCCCAAGAATGGCATCCAAAGGTGCCAGACGGCCCAAGAGTGCCGCGAGTCGCCGGTCCAGGCGATCGCAGGGGCCATGGTAAGGACAACAGCTTTGATCGATTCCACCTGCCGCGAGAGCAACTCCGACAAGGCACAGAAGACGAGGACGCCAACTACGCACCTACATCGATCCTGTCGGGGAGGCGCAAGACTCGGGATCGGGGGACTCGGGTTGGCCTGACGGGGCCATCATGAGAATGACGAGACCCAGTCTGAAATTTGACGCGAGCTCCCGCGGCAAACATCCCACGAAAGCTGGACTGCCAAAATCCAGGACGCGCTCGTCAGAACGCGTCGGCAAGCCCGAGTTCCGGCGTGCTCGAGACATACGGTTCCCCGATCCTGGCCAGGCTCATCCTGGGCCCAGGATCGGCCTGGCCAGGACTGGTGTACAGTGAAAACGTATAGCAAGGACGGGTGATAAGGACGCAAGACCCTCGGAGGCCGAAGTTGGGCTTTTTAGGGCGGCGGGCGACCAGTGATCATGGCAAGGACGGGCCTCAGAGGCAAGGGCACAAGGGTGACCCTAGATGAAGGCGCGCGTCCTTACTGGGCGCGTTGACTGCAGGTGCACACCTGGTGCCCTCCGCGGATGGCGCAGCTGGCCGCAGATGGCCGCGCCCGCGGCCCCGGGAGACCGCATTGGGGGCCACGACGAGGACCACACGCGCGGTCAGAGGAGTGCCCACGGCCTGCTGCACGGCGGCGCGGCGCGCGCACGCTTTCCACCGCCAACCATGACGCGCGTGCCCGCGAGCACCACGCCACCTCCATTCGGGTCGGGCGAAAGGGGGGGACAGCAAAAAGGGGGTGGGTTGAGAATCAGCTCACGTGGCTGGTTTCCCCGGCGCCTCCCGGCGCCGGGGGGCGGCCATGTTATCGAGGAATGGGCCCCTCGGCGGGGCCGAAACCAGCTGCATGCAGCAGAGTTCGTACCCCCCCCTTTCCCAAAATCCCCCCCCTTTCGCCCGGCCACGTCCCTGCGCGCCGCGCCGCGGAGGCACCCGCGCGGGCCCCGCGGCCGCCCATCGGCCCCCGCGGAAAGGGAGCCGCACCGCGCGCCCGCGCCGCGCCCGCGCCGCGGTGGGGCCGGCGCCGGGCCGCCCGCTCACGCCAGCAGCCGCTCCACGAGGACCGCCTGGCGGCGGCGGCGGCGGCGCAGCAGAGGGCAGGCTCGCCACCGCTCGGACGTCCACTCCCCGTGCGTTTTGTTGTCGGTCTCGCGCGGCGGCGGCGGCGCAGCAGAGGGCAGGCTCGCCATCGCTCGGACGTCCACTCCCCGTACTTTTTTCGTCGGTCTCGCGAGGCGGCGGCGGCGCAGCAGAGGGCAGGCTCGCCATCGCTCGGACGTCCACTCCCCGTGCTTTTTGTTGTCGGTCTCGCGCGTGGCTTCTTCGCCGAAATGATCAAGGATGCTCCTCGATGGATCATCCTTTGGGGGAACACCAAGTGGCATAAACACATAAAAGCGCGGAGGTCCGTGCGGACTTCTCGGAGCGGTGCTGGACCCTCCCCCTCCCTGGCGCGCGGAGCGCGCCAGGGGCGGCGCCGGAGGCGCCGCCGGGGGGGGCCCCAGCGCCGGTCCGAGAAATTCGCGCGGACCTCCGCGTTTTTTATGTTTATGTCACTTGTTGTTCCTATAGGTCGTGCTCTGCGGATCGACCCCCCGGCGGCGCCTCCGGCGCCGCCCCTGGCGCGCTCCGCGCGCCAGGGAGGGCCAGGGGGGTCCAGCGCCGATCCGAGAAACTCGCGCGGAGCTCCGCGTTTCTATGTCTGTGTCACTGGTTGTTCCCCTGTAGGTCGTGCTCTGCGGATCGGCCCCTGGCACACACGGGGAGTCCAGGGGGCGGCAGCCTCGGGGGGAGAGCTCCGCCCCCGCCTCTCGGAGAGGCGCGGGGAGGGGGGCCCCGCGGGCGGGTCCCGAGGGCGCTCGGGGCCCTCGGGGCTTTGGTACGCCGCCCTCGGGCTCCCTCGCCGAAGGGAAAATGCACACGTCCGAACGATCCAGGGGCGGGCGGGGAAGGGGCCTCCTTCCTCTGGAGAGGCGCATGCGGGGCCCTCCCGCCGAGCGGCCGGGCCCCGCAGGGCCGCGGGGCCCGCCGGGGAGGGAGAGGAGCGGGTCAGGACGGAGCCGGGCGTGCCCTGGGCCCTGGGATCAAGTCGGGCCTGTCCCCCCCCTACAGGGGAATCTTCGAGGAACAAATCCTAAAAACAGTCCAAAAGTATTCAGGAATGGCAACAAAAGAAAGACTCCAAAACTCGTGCCCAGACTGTTGTTCGACTATCTCTCAATAGTCCTCCTGTGGAGGCACAGGCCCGACTTAACCCGTGGGACCTCCCCGCCAGGGCCTCGGTCACGCGCAGAGGGGGGTGGGGGGAGGGGGGACTTCTGGGGAAGCGCCCCTGCTTCTTGCAAGGCCTGGGCCTCGTCCGCAGATGTAATTAAGGCCCGCGCCTCCTGAGAACCAGCCTCCTTCTAAGAAGCCTTCGCCCCTCCCCCCTGCCCCCCCCCCCCCCCCTGCGCGCCGCCGAGGGCCGGCTCTCCCTCCCGGGGCGCGCGCCGACGGCCCCGAGAGCCCGGGGAGGGCCCCGAGAGGGCCCGAGGGCGGCGCAGCGGGGCCCCGAGGGCGCCTCGAGGCGCCAGCGGGGCCCGCCCGCCTCGCCCCCCTCCCCGCGCCTCTCCGACGAGGCGGGGCCGACCGCCACGGCATTCCTAACAGTCCTACCACGAAGATGTTCTTATGAAGGGGCCCCAGGACACACCAAGAAATACACACAAATAAAACTACTCCCCATATTTTCCCATATTTTCTGGGTTTCTGTCTTCCCCGCCACTTCCCATATTTTCCCATATTTTCCTGGGACTCGACGATTAATTGTGTCTCTGTGTGTGTGTGTGTTTGTTCCTCTTGATCTTGGAACCCGAAAACGTTCCAAGAACAAGCACAATGTTCTTAGAGCATAAGCCCGATGTGATGAAACAAGACAGCCCTGGCCAGAAATGTTCTGAGAACATCTCGTGGAAACCACAAAGCGTTCTTAGAACATTGTTTGGTAGGGCTATAGGCGAGCTGGGACGCTTCGCCACTGCTTGATCTCCGAGAGGCGGGGGCGAAGCTCTCCCCCGAGGCTGCCGCCCCCTGGACTCCCCGTGGGCCAGGGGCCGATGCGCAGAGCACGACCTCTAGGGGAACAACAAGTGAGGGCGTAGAGCGTAGAGCGTGGGCGTAGAGCGCGGGGGTGAGTGTGGGGGGAAGTGCGGGGTGCGAGTGTGCAGTGCGAGTGTGAAGTGCGAGTGTGGGCGTAGAGTGTGATGGGCGGCCGTGCGCCCCGAAATGGCCTGCTTAATAGACATGCACGATCGCTGCCCCAGAGACATACACAAGGCATAATCATAAAAACTCTGAGGTCCGCGCGGATTGCTCGGATCGGCGCTGCAGGGCCCCTCGGCGGCGCCTCCAGCGCCGCCACTGGCGCGCTCCGCGCGCCAGGGAGGGGGGTCCAGCGCGGATCCGAGAGATCCGCGCGGACCTCCGACTCCGACCTTTTATGTTTATGCCACTTCTCGCTCCCCCACGACCAGATCGAAAGCGGCTCGTCTCGTCGGCGGATCTCCCCGCCTGGAATCGAGGCTGCATCGCCCCGCCTGGCCGTGGCCGATGCCGGCGACTCGAGCCGAATCGGGTCGAATCGGAATCGCGGCTCCCGCTGGCGAAGCGAGTCGCATCGAATCGCATCGCATCGGATCGCAAGTGGCCCTGTCGGCCGCCGCCGCCGCCGCCTTCGTGCCGGAGACCGGGAGCCCCCGCGCCCGGCACATCGCCTTCAGCTCCTCTTCGGTTGGCCCAAAGGGGGTCCAGCTGAAAGGCGGCGGTGCAGTGGATGTGGGGCAATTGTGTTGCAAGTGTACTGCGCCGGAGAATTGTATTGCATTGTAGTGCAGCTAATGTATTGCACGCGAAAGTCCAGCAATACATCTGCGCCCCGGAGTGTACTCCACACCCCGAATCTACGGCAACCCACGAATATACTGCACCAGATCTATTGCACCACCCCCTTGTGGCTGGACCCCCTTTTGGGTCAATCAGCTCCTCGGCCTTCTTGGCCATCAGCTCGCCCTCTGACTGCTTCACCCTTGCGGGCGCGCTCGCCACCGGCGCGGCCACCGAAGCCGCCTCCCTCTCGGCCCTGGCCTCCGCCGCCTTGATCGGCGGCGCGCCGACTGCTGACAGGATGTATATATCCATACTCTGCATGGGGCAATCATCGCGCCCCGCCCCTTGGATCCGCTGGGGGTGTTGGGCACGTGCTGTCGGAAGGGGTGGAGGGGGGGTTGGAGGAAGAGGAGGAGGAGGAGGAGGAGGAGGAGGAGGAGGAGGAGGAGGAGGAGGAGGAGGAGGAGGGAGGAGGGCGGAGGGGGCGGGGTTGGGCAGGCTCAGTCGGGAGGCGAATCACCTCCCCTCTTGAGAACTACCCCATCCAGAGTAGCCATCTCTACTGCATCTTGGAGCTTCGGGCCCCCTCCCCCAGCCGCCCGAGGCGCAGGGGGCACGGATGAACACCTGGCCCCCCCGAGGCCCGATGCCGTGTGCAGAGGGATCCTCTGCACCCCGGCCTTTCGCAGGCCCCCTCCCAGGAGGTCCAAGACGCAGCGGACCTGGATGCACCTCCTGCCCGCACCCCAGGGGGGGGAAGCGAGAGCAATTAGGGGGCCCCATGCGAGCCCTCCCCCCTCAGAAATCATGGGGGTACAGGGGTACTCCAGATTTCGTAATAAAGAGAGGGGGGTCTCATTTCGGGGGGGGGGTCTCTTCCAGGCTATCTTGGAGGGCCTGGGGGGGTCTGGGGACGATGTTTTGGAGGGTTCTCTCACGGGGGAGGTCTGAAATGGCTTGTCTTGGTGGGTCCAGACCCCCTCCCTTTTATCACGAAATCTGGAGTAGGGTTCGCATGTGGCCCCCCCCTAATAGAGAGGGGTCAGGCCCTCTCAGCTGGCGACGGGGGCCCCTCGGGAGCCCGCCGGCATTCTGAGCCGCCCGCCGCGCCCTCGGAGAAGGCCCGAAAAGCTTCTCAGAAGGCCGCCTTCTGGAGAAGGCCCGCCCCCGTCTGCTTCCCCTCCCCCCACGAGCGCGCCGCCGAGCCTTGTTCGCGGCGCCCATCAGGGGGTCCTCGTCCTCGTCCTCCTCCACCTCCGCCTCCGACTTGGCCTCCGAGGCCTCCGAATCCTCCTTCTTCTCGTCGTCCTCCTTCGGCCTGTCCGGCAGGTTCTTGATGAGCTCGTCCAGCGGGTTCGTGTCGTCCCCCGGCTCCTCTGGCATGGCCGCCGCCGGCTGGGCGTCCACCTCGTCGAAGCCGCCCCGCTTGCGGCGCTTGGCCTGGGGCTCCGCCGTGGCCTCCGCCGACTCCCTCTCCTGGGGAAAAGAGGCAGCATGCACGTCATGCATCTGCACCGGCCCTGGCCTGGACCACCCTGGGCCCAGCATCTGTGCACACGCCTGGCTCAGCCAGGCAGGCATACACCCACGCGCCCAGGGCCCAAGATGGGCCTGGTCGGGGCCGGTGTGCGTGCGCACTTCTCGCCGCCCGATCTCCTCCTTCGACGCCTTGGCCTGTACCCACGCGGCAGCGTCGGCGGCGTGCTCGGCCCGGAAGGCCTCGGCGCCCTTCTCCGCCAGCTCGGCCAGAACCTCTGGAGGGGCCCAGGGACACACAAATAAATGCACACAAATAACAGGATTCACATATTTCCCCATATTTCCTGGGCCTTTGTCTTCCCCCCCACTTCCCACATTTTCCTATATTTTCTGGGGAATCGACGATTGAATGTGTCTGTGTGTTTCCTTCCCTCCGGAGCCTCGTCGTACAGCTCCATGGCGGCCGCGCCGGCGCTGTCCCGGAGGGCCGTGAGGCTCGGGTCGCCTCGCCGGCGGCGGGCGCACTATCCGTATGTCCGCGCCATCGCGGTCTGGACTCCCGGGGCGCGATCCCGCAGATGCCAAGGGCTCCCAACTTCGCGCTTTGCGCTGCGCGAATAGCGCGAAGTGCGAATGACTTCGCGCTCTCGCGCCGCCTCCCAGGGGAGCAGAGGAGGACGAGGAGGAATCGGAGCCGAACCGCGAGGCGCGGAGCGCGAAAAACTTCGCGCCCTCGAGGGCGTCCTCGGATACGCGGTCGCACGGAGACGCTCCGAGCGGGGCCTCCGCGGAGAAATGCCCCGCATCCGCGGCGTCGCGGCTCAGGGGCCCGGCCCGCGAGGCCACGGATACGGATGCGCTTTTCGCCGCCGATCGCCGTCGGCGGCCCCCTGGAGCGCCGCGAACGGGGTCTCCGTGGTGGCCTGGGGGTCGATGCAGAAAAGTACATCTGCCAGCGTGGACCCCGAAGAGTAATGCGGGATGACGATTAATAAAAAAATGGGAGAGAACGAGTAAAACAATAGTCTTCTGCTATTCCTGCATAATTTTCTGACTGGAGGAGAACGATAAAAAAAAACAGCTTTCCAGCCCGCGGCCGGTTTTTTCTAATCGTCATCCCGGGCGCCGCCGCGTGAACACGACCCCCGGTCATGTATTAATCGCCATCCTCCATGAAGTGGTTGCACTCTGGACGTGCAGGCCTTGTGTGGTGCAGCAAGCCGTGTGGTGCAAGCTGTGCGGTGAGAGAGTCTCTGGTGCAAGGTGTGGGGCGAAGCCTCGGTGGACCACACGAGTGGTCGGCAACGAGGCGGCAGCGAGGGCGGCCACGGGCAGCGACGCGGCGAAACCTCGGCGGACCCAGCGAACCCCTTTGTGAGGAGAACGAGAGCCCCTAAGTTTCACGCTGGAGCAACGGGGGGAACACAAAAGGGGGGACGGCAGTAGGTGCAATAGTTCGTCTTCCTGAACTACTGCGCGCGAACTATTGCGAGGGGGCACGAACTATTGCAAACCGCCTGAACGATTGCGCACGAAACAAGACGAAGCAACACCCGCGCGGAACTATTGCATCCACGCCGCAAACACTTGCATCCAAGCACCAACTATTGCATGAACTGTTGCGCCTACCCCGGTCCCCCCATGTGTGTTCCCCCCATTACTCCGGCTTAGATAAGTGCAAACACTGTTTGGGGAACCGGGGAAAAATTTGCTGGCCCAACGGGCCAGAGGCGTGCAAAGATCTCTGGCAACTGTTTCAGAAGATTTCCAGTTCGCGCGCGCGTGGCGGCCCCTAAGGGTCCCCCGACGAAAACTGCCCCAGCAAGTCCCCGGCAAATCCCGGGCAAGGTCCCGGCAATGTCCCGGCAAGGTCCCAAGAAACTCAAGTCAGAGATGATTTTGCACCTGAACGCCGCCCTCAGAGCGTCCCAGAGAACCCCAAGAGCGGCCCAAGATAGCTCCTAGTTGCCGAAAGGATACTCCCAGAGCGCTCTAAGACGCCCAAGGTGGCCCCAAGACGGCCCAAAGGCCCCAAAGAGGCCCCAAGAGCGCTCCAGGAGGACCCCAAAGAGGGCCAAAAGAAGCACAAATAATTGATTGTCCTTGTGTTCTTCTATGTTGGCCGTCCCAAGACGGCCCGAGAGGCCCCCGAGAGGGCGCTTTCAGGCGGCCCAAGAGGGCCCCACAACGGCCCAAGAGGCGCCCAAGATCCCCCAAGAGGGCTCCAAAACGGCCCCAACAGGGTCCAAGAGGGGAAACAATAACCACCGATTCGAGCCTTCCGCCCCAAGAGGCCCCCAGGAGGCCCCAAGAGGCCCCCAAGAGAGCCCAGGAGGCCCCCTGGAGGCCCCACGAGGCCCCCAAGAGGCCCAAAAAGACACCCCAAGAGGCCCACAGAGGCCACGAACGCGCAGGCAAACGCCTGCGATGGCACACTACGGGCCGGCGGAATGGGCGAATCAATGAAATAAGCGCACTCCGTCTTGCAAAAGCACAAGACACTGAAACACAGCTTGCGCAGTAAATCCGCCGGCGCCAATTGCGGGGCCATCAGGCTCCGCGGCTTGGGCTTGCTGCTCCCTGCTCCAGTGCCAGTTTCCAGTCTGTGTCCTGCTTCCGACTGTGAATTGTTGCAGTCCGCGCGAGGTTGGGGAGCCGAAAAGGGCCCTGGTCACCTTCACCTGAGGAAGGTTCTCAGAATTTCTAGGGGGCCCTGGGACACGTCAAAGTATTGATATTCACACCCCGGCAACCCTGATCCCTTGCAAATTACGCCATAGTCGCGCCCCCGAGGCCATAGTCCGTTGCAGCTTACACCATAGTCGCGTCCCCGAGGAAATGCCCTACGGTAAATTGCGCAACCTGCACCTGGATGCCTCAAGTGACCCCCGCTCGGAGTTCCGACGCTGCTTCACGGCCGCGCCCAGGCCTCTTAACATAGCTCTTGCATGCTTCATTTTCCGATGGAGGGGGCCAGCGGCAGGGGGCGAAACCCCTACGGACTACGGATAAGATCCACCCCGGAAACATACAGTCGGGGCGTTGACTTAAGGAACCCTAAAGAGGGAACGAGGCCTCTTTTTTCCATAAGTTGAACTTCGATTTCCCATCGAAAATCGAAGGGAAACCTAAGGCAAGCTCTAAAATAATCAAGGAACACGGAGCCCCTCCTGAACGAAAAGGGTTCCTTCTTCAGCGCCCCGACTGTACGCGTCTCGGGGCTAGGCGGCGGCCACATCTCGAGCACGGAGCCTCGCCCTCGACGACCATGCCCCGCGCGAGCTTCACGAACCCGTCGCGCCGCTTGCGCTCCGCGCGATACACGGCCTCGTCGTCCAAGCTCCTGCTCGGCGGCAGCTCACGGGAGCCTCCCATGCCATCTTGCTGGCTTTCGCGAATCCACGCTGTGCGACGCGCATCGGCGCCAATCGACGCCAAGTCGGCGCCGATCGACGCGAAATCGGCGCTGCCCCATCGACTACCAGACGCTAAAACACGCTGGCGCACCCTAAAAACGGAATCACGAGCACACGCAAGGCTCCCCTTGACTTGCCACAGAAACTCCTGGGCTTCAGCAGCGCGGCGTGCTCGTCGGACGTCTTCAGCGCGCGCAGCGACGCCCACAGCCGCAGCGCCTCGAGCGGGGGCTCCTCCTCCTGCAGCTCGCCGCGGCGCTCCAGGATCTCTCTCGCGTCCTCCGGAGCGGGGCGAGCTGAGGCGACTGGGACGCCGCAGGACATGCTGGCACGCTGTGCTGACGTCGGAGGCGCACGTCCGACACGCACACATAGTATGTAGCACACGAAAATATTACAGCACGTCGATCCCCGAGCGGCATGGGCGGAGAGCGCCCGCCACGGAGCTTGCATATACTGCGAGGCTATCCGAGCGCACTCGTCGCCCTCTTGCGCGGGGCCGACGCACCTGCAGCATGTTAAGTGTGTCTGTCTGGGCGGTGCCGCACGACGGCAGCTCAAAAAGGGGCCCCCCGGAACCCTCCCAGGGTTTGAGCGCACCCGTTTTCCGATTGTCTATGTTGTTGTTCTTGTTTTTTTTCTGGAACGCACCAGTTTTCCGATCTGCGCCCGAGCGTGGCGACGAGGGACCCCCCCGAAGGCCCCACCGCCGCCGTCCCAGCTCGCCCTGCCCCTGGCCATCGCTCGGACGTCCATTCCCTGCGCTTTTTTCGGTTTCGTGCGTGGCTTTTTCGCCACATGATCAAGGATGCTCCTCGATGGTCCTCGCCGAAGAAAAAAATCACACGTCCGAGCGATGCCAAGGCCCTGCCCCGAGTCCTTCCAGCGCAGGCGCGTGCGCTTGAGCTCCGGGTCCGAGCCCATCATGCGCTGCAGCCGGACGATCCTCTCGGGGCGCTGCTCCGCCCGGGCCTTCTGGTGCTTCTCCTCGAAGGGGCCCCAGGACACACACGTAAATACACACATAAAAAAAGATTCCCCATAGTTTCCCACATGTTTGGGTTTTTGTTCACCTTCCCCACACTTCCCATGTTTTCCCACGTTTCTGGGGAATCGACGATTAATTGTGTCTGTGTGTTATTTCCCTCCTGACTCCTCCAGGCGCTCCATGACGGCCTGGAACACCTCGTCGCGCCGGACGTCGGAGCTGATGAGCCCCCAGGCCTCCTCGTGTTAAATGGGGCCTGTCCCTCTACAGGAGGAATATTCAAAATAGTCAAAAAAAATATGGGGACTATTTTTGGGGTATTTGTGGGCATCTTTTGAATATTTGCTTGATATGTTTTATTTTTCATCCAACATCCCCCTGTAGGGGGACACGCCCGACTGAATCCTCGTGCCGCAGCACGGTCGTCGCCTCCTCGTACGTCGTCTCGAGGTCCTCCGGCCGCGGGAACCGCTCCTCGATGAGCCTACAGGGAGGGCACAAAAATACGCGGACCTACGTTTTCGGAGCTCCGCGCGGACTTCTCTTGGATCGGCGCTGGACCTCTTTGGACGCCGGAAATGGGTACGGAAAAAATGGGTACAATGCCCAACAACAAATGTTGCCCCAAACCAACAGCGGCCGCTGTTGGGCAGCCGGCCTCCTGTCTCGAGTGGACACAGGCCGCGGCGGCGTGGACAGCGAATCCTGTTCAAGATGAACAGGAACTGCTGTTGGGCATCGTACCCATTCTTTCCGTACCCATGTCGGGCGTCCAGAGAAGAGGAGGAGGAGGAGGAGGAGGAGGAGGAGGAGGAGGAGGTTGGGAGGAGGAGGAGGAGGAGGAGGAGGAGGAGGAGCGCGTTCGGAGCGCGCCGAGGCCGGCGCCGGAGGCGCCGCCAAGGGGGGTCCGGACGCCGACCCGAGGCAAATCCGCGCGCGGAGGTCTCCGCAGGGCTTCGGTCGGGTGCCGCTCTTGCTCTCCTCCTCTCGGCGGCCTCTCCAGCGCCTGCGCCGCGTTGCGCTCCTTCTCGCGCTCCGCGATGTGCTTCTGGCTCATGGACTGGCTCAGCACCTCCGCGAAGCTCTGCTTCCGGAGCGCCTCCTCGAGCCCCTGCGCTTCTTCGGCGCCGCTGGTGGCCGCGTCCGCGGCCCTCCAGTTCCAGCCCTCGTCCACGCCCTTGTCCTCAACGACGACGACGAGTTGGGAGGGAACTTCTGGGAGGTCTTCGCGCGAACGATGAGGCTAACAAGCCCGATCCAGGGACCCCTAAGTCGCACCAACCAAGAATAAGCTCCATGTTTGGCCTGATTCAACGGGATAGTGAGGGGTCCGTCCAGGCTTCGACTACGGATACACCAGCTCCGACGCCAAAGTGAACCTCCGAGGAGTTGCACCCCAAGACGAGGTCTCCGCGATCCATCCTAGGATGAGGTCTCGGCGATCGACGTTCTACTATCATCGCGCTGCCACTATGAACGTCAAATAGAAAATGGTGGGCACTTTGTGGCCACGGCGAGTCTCGGCCACGAAGAGGTTACCACAACAGGGGGCACGGCGACCCAAATCCCAGCATTTGTGGGGGTTCAAACTCGGGGATGTTAGCGTGGCGGCGTCCATCCTCGAGTTGGGTGCGTTCGAACAGCCCCATGGGAGAGCCCCCTCCCCCTTTTCTAAGGGGCCTGGGTTTTTATTTCGGGGGGGGGAGCTCCGGGATTTGGGGCGATGCGTCGCCTGCGATCCTCCCCGACGACGACGACGACGACCACGACGACGAGATCTAGTTAGGCGGTCGACGCTCTACGCTCTCTATCCCTGGACGCCCGTCGCCTCGGACACGAAACTGGACGCGGCCGGCCTGTCGCCCTTTCTGCGGCGCGCGGGGAGGGGGGGGGCGCCGGGGGTAGGGAGCCCACAAAGGACGTACGCGCCCAGCTATGTACATGAACACGGCCCCTCGATTCGCGAGACCGGCCGCGTTATACGAACATTTGTGCAATGCGTGCTCTCGAAACCAGCGTGGATTCATGTACATGTACGTCCTTCTTTCGCTCCTGAGGGGAGGGGCCCCGCAGAAAAACTTGGGCGCTTCTAGGAAGGCCCCGGGATTCAAACAAAAAAAGCCCACTGCATTCTCAGAAGGCCCCATCCTGGCGCCACCCCCGTGCGCGCGCCCCCGACATGCTTCGCCTCCGGAGGCCGGTTTCGGGCCTCGCGACCGTCAGAGAACAACGGCCCGGGAGGAAGAACTGGTCCTCTTCTACGCCCTGCGTCCTCGACGGCGATGACATCGGTTTCAACTCTACAGGGGAAGAAGAAGAGGCTTAAGCATAAGCTTTCTGAGGTGCGCGCCGCCGGCGCCGCAGGGGTTCAAGCGCCAATCCGAGAAATCCGCGCGGATCTGAAAAAGCAGATGTTTCCGAAGTTGAGATTTTCGGTAACAGACGACCGATGTTTTGTCCATGCCCTTGCTGCTCACGCCCCAACCCCGCGAGGTGCCAGAGCGGGGACATGGACAAAGTCAGGCCTCTGGAGTCCAGGCGGTTTATCAATGTGCCCTTGCCGTCCACAGTTGGAGTCAGCAGCTGGGGTGTGAAGGTGAACATGGCGGCGATCGCCAAATTTCTGACGTGTGCCAGGTTCCCCTCTTTTGTCTGGGACCCAAGACGACTCCAGAAGGCCTCCCGCATGGCTCCAATAGCAAGGGTACCCGCCGGGAGACCACGATCTGAGGGGGTAGCAAAAGCAACACATCATGGTCTTGAATGGTGGTTTGGACTTCTACCGATGTCGCTTCCGATTTGCCCCTGCAGGCCTCAAGACAAGGCGACCGAGGACACCCCCAAAAATAGGCCCAGGAGAGGCCAGACTCGCCCAAATGTCGCTGAGGCCCAAGAGCGCTCCCAGGAGGCCGTCGAGAAACTGCGCCTCGGGCTGCAGCAGGGCAAGGCTAAGTGACGACCAGTCTCTCTTGCTGGCCCATGCGCTCCGGAACACCCCTGGTTACCAGCCTGGAACATATCCCTATCCCTATGTTGGGCATCGCCTCATCACGGTGGCGATCTTAGGGATTTCCTCAGTTTCTGAGGATGTATCCCTAAGGTTGTCATCTCCTTTTAGCGTGTCAATCTTAGGGATAGGGATAAGTTCGAGGCTGGTGACCCGGAGAGCCAACATGCTCGGCATCAGAGGGGCCCTTCGCTGGACGCCGAGATGCGTCGTCGGAGGCCGGAGGTCCGCCGTCGTCGGAGGGGGGAGGAGGAGGAGGAGTAGGAGGAGGGAGGAGGGAGGAGGAGAAGGGGGAGGAGGGAGGAGGAGGAGGAGGAGGAGGAGGAGGAGGAGGAGGAGGTTGGGAGGAGGAGGAGGAGAGGAGGAGGAGGAGGAGGAGGAGGAGGAAGAGGAGGAGGAGGAGGAGGAGGAGGAGGAGGAGGGGAGCCCCAAAAGAGCCGCAGAGGCACCCAGCACGGCCCCGGGAGGACCCCAAGATGGCCCCCGGAGGCCCCCCCGAGGCAGCCTGAGGCCCTGACGCTGGCCACTGCAGGGGCCTGCGCGGGCTGGCCCCGGCACCCGTGTCACTGTGGCCACCCCTCCACGTTCCAGAGGTGCTGGAGGGGCCCAGGGGCACACAAAGAAAGAGACACGAGTCCCAGGATTCCCCATATGGCCTTACTCCAGATTTCGTAATAAAGGGAGGGGGGTCTCATTTCGGGGGGTGTCTCTTCCAGGCTATCTTGGAGGGCCTGGGGGGGTCTGGGGACGTTTTGGAGGGTTCTCCCACGGGGGGGGTCTAAAACTTCTCGTCTGGGAGGGTTGAGACCCCCTCCCTTTTATTACAAAATCTGGAGTACGTGTTCTGGGTCTTCGTCTTCCCCCCCAACTTCCCATGTTTTCCGATGTTTTCCGATGTTTTCCTGGGAGTCGACGCTGCAGTGCGTCTCTGTGTTGCTTCGCCTCCTCAGGTGCTCCCCCCGCCCCATGCAGTCCTCGTGCTGCCGGGGTGAATGCTGCATCAGAGAGGGGGCCATTCCGGCTACTGCGAGCCTCGGCGGCCCACGAACGGCTTCCCCGACCCAGGCCTCGGGAACGGCCCGGGCACCACGGCCCCTCCAGAGCCCAAAGTGGGCCTCATTCCTTATGACAGCGTCCTGAGTGTACGTTTTACCAGCGCGCCCCCGTACACATCGGGCGGAAGTAGGTAGAAGCATGAAGTAGGAAGGCGCTGAACGTATATTGGGTGTCCGCCCGCACCCTTAAAGAGGACGGAAAAGGTGAAGCCACTCGATCATTGAAGTAGGAAGGCGCTTACAGTAGATTGGAATCTGGGACTCCAGGAATACCTACTTTGAACGACCAAATGGTACCCTCCTCACGACAACTCTCTTGAGACTCGCAGCTGGATGGGCACGCTTCGCGCAGCGCCCCCGACCAACAACCACGGCACGCTCAAACATGCCACTTCTGCTTGCTGCCACTATGTGTGTGCTCTTCGGTAGAATAGGACTGGCTGTAGTATGTAACACATTGTGAACGTCTTCTTATTCGGCGTTTCAACATTGGGCGGAAAGGCGGGGGAGAGGGGGAGGGTCTGGATCCGGACCTCTGCTTTGTGCGACTGTTTGAAGCAGTGCGTCATATGGGGGAGAGGCTCCACCTGCTCGAGACAGGCGCCAAAAACAGCCAAGATCTACTATAAGGGAGGGGGGAGGGTGCGAGGGCCCGCGCCGATCGGGAACAAAAGTAAACAAAAAAAGGCGGCATTGCATGCTATGTTTGAGCGCAGCGGGGCCCAGATGAGGTAGCTATGAGGTGCCGCGGCCGTTACAATTGCTCCAGCATGCCTTCGGAAGCTTCTGGAACACGCCGTTTCGCGTCCAAGGCTGTCCACGGCGACAGCACGTCCGAAAGCCGGCCGAGGCCACAGCGAGAACGAAACCGACCGACGCCGACGGGCCGCAAGCATTGGAAGCCTGGAAATGGGCACCAACACCAATACAGGGGTTTGCCTCCGCAGGGGGAAGATGATCCTACATTTCGGTGTTGGTGGTAATATTTCGGTCACCTTGGAAACCAAAATATTACCACCATCACACCGAGATCGGGATCGTCTTCCCTCGGTGGAGGCGCACCGCCGATCTTGGTGTTGGTGTCAACCTCTAGGCCTGCGAAAGCAGCCCGGAAGAGCGCGGCAACGCGGCAGCGCCGCGACGGCCGACCGCACGCCACCGGACACGCGACGCAGCCGAACCGCGACCGAACCGCGGAGGCCCTGGGCGCCCCAGGTCCGCCCGACGACGGCCTCCCTCCTCCCTCCTCCCTCCTCCCTCCTCCCTCCTCCCTCCTCCCTCCTCCCCTCCTCCCCTCCTCCCCTCCTCCCCTCCTCCCCCCCTCCCCTTCCCCTCCTCCCCTCCTCCCTCCCCCTCCTCCCCCTCCTCCCCCCCCCTCCCCCTCCTCCTCCTCCTCCTCCTCCTCCTCCTCCTCCTCGCCTGCCTCGCAGGCCCGGCCCGCGGACGTCCTTCATCAGGTCCCAGAAGGCCCGCACCCGCTCCGCGCTGGTCGGGGGGATGGGCCGCTCGTCGACGCCGGACTCCTGCCCGCGCAGCCGGCGCAGCTCCGGGGGCATGGCCCAGCAGCTGACCTTGCAGGATCAGGCAGCATCGGATCGGGAGCTCGGATCGGATCGGACCGTGCGTCGGACGGAGCCGCACCGGCACGGAGACGCAATCAAGTCGGATCGGCCGTGCCGGGATGCACGGCAGCGCCGCTCCAACATCGGGCCGCATCGGATCGCTGGCGTACGGGAATCGAATCGGATCGGGCTCGCCGAAGTCGACATCGAATTGGATCGATCGGATCAAGATTGGCCCTGCCTTGGTGTCTTTGTTGTGGTAGAAGACGCGGCCGTCCCAGATCTTGTACTCCTTCCACATCGGGTCCGTGATCCTCTCCTCTCGGGTGTCCGTTGACGGATGGGAATGACATGTTGGATGAAGAAGCGTGCGCCATCGGGCCTGCGGTGGCAGGTGAGGGGCCGCTCGTCTGGGGCTCCCTGAAGGCGATCATCCTGCAATCATCGATCTCCCCACGTTTACTGCCCCGCTCGCGAGGGTCGCCCCCCTCGCGGTGTCGTTCGACCCCCCCCCTCGGGGGGGAGGCCCCACACGTAGGGTTGGCACGCCGTCTCCAGGGAGCACGCCCGAGGGTCTCTCGAGGGGGCAACCCCCCGTCGTCACTCCCCTGAGACGAGGTGTCCCCCCCGCGAGGGTTGTGGGAGCGTTGTCCCAGGATAGGCGTGCACTGTAGATCCACGGCGGGTTTGCCGTCCGCCCGATCCTCCACGGTCTTCATGACGTCCGGCTTCTCCCACGTCGAAGTCTGGGTCTCCTCGTGGAAGTAGAACTTCCGCCCATCGCCGGTCTGGTGCTCCGACCAGCCCTTGTCCGGCTTGGCGTCCTCGATGTCCTGCTCGCGGGTCGCAGGGAGGAGGACCAGGAGGAGGAGGAGGAGGAGGAGGAGGAGGAGGAGGAGGAGGAGGAAGGGAGGAGGAGGGGGGGGAGGAAGGAGGGAGGAGGAGGGCGATCGGGAGGTGGAGGAGGAGTAGGGGGCGGGAAGAGGAAGAGGGGGTCGGGAGGAGGAGCAGGGGGGAAGAGAAGGACGGGAGGTGGAGAGGGAGGAGGAGTGGGAGAGAGAGCAGGAGAAGAGGAGAGGAGGAGGGGAGAGGAGGAGGAGGGGAGGAAGAGGAGAGGAGGAGAGGGGGGGAGGGGAGTAGGAGGAGGAGGAGGAGGAGGAGGAGGAGGAGGAGGAGGACAAAGGGAGGCTACGTTCTGACGAACTTTCGAGCCACCAGGTGCCAGGTGCCAGGAGGACCAAAAAGTGCGGGGCGCGGATTGATCCACATCCACAGCCTGGGAACCGACGTCCTGGGGACCCAGCGGGCGGCGGATGTGGATCTGTTTTGGCTCCGGGGGGCTCGAATATATCTACATCCACCGCCCGCGGAGGCCCGCGGAGATCGATCCCCCAGGCGGTGGTTCTGGGTAAATTCCAGGCTCGGAGAAAGAAACCCAGGATGCGCCAACGATTCTGTGAGACACCCTCTCGGCGCAGCCACCGGGGGGAGATCCCCCGCAAGCGAGAGGCAGCATCGGCCGCCTGGGGCCTGCACCCTGGAGCACCTCCCGCCCCGCTCGCAGCGGCCGGGTCCTAGAGAAGCACCAAGCGGCCCCCAGGACAAGCCAAGAGTTGACCAACACGTCGCTCGATCTTCCATCACGGCAGTGCCAATGCTACGGTGAGGTCGTTGGGCAAGGAACCATTGAATTCGGAATCCAGGGTCTGAAGCCGGTGGAGCACCAATTGAGGCTTGGCCATGGAAATCATCGTCGCTCACATGAGATAAGGGATCCTCCAGGGTCTGAAACCTCCTGTGCACCTTCCTTGACGAACGCCCCCACCCTGACCCCATGAAGCGATGTCGACGAGAAAGGTGACCAGAGTCTGCACTACCCAGATTCTCCTCCGCCTCCTCCATCCCCTGCTCGGATGGACTGCTCCGGGGCATGGGAGCATGGGCCGAGGTCGGCTGCACGCAAGGGTAAAGTCGGGCCTGTCCTCCTACGGAGGGATTTTGGACGACAAATAATAAGTACCCCCAAAATACCCCAAAATGGTCCAAAAGAGTCAAAAATAGTGCCCCGACTATGTTTGGACTATTTCTGGGTATTCCCCCTGTAGAGGGACAGGCCCGACTTCACGCAAGGGTGGCTGGCCCGTGGCAAGAGTGGCCTCTGGCGCGCGGCTCCAAAGAGGGGGGGGGGGCACGGGGGGGCCACACCTGGGCGCACACGCCCCCTGCGGCCGCTCTGCGACCAGCGAGCAGGGGCACCCGCTGGGACCGCACCGAGAGTGAAGCGAAGCGAAGCGAACGCCGGGGTCGTGCGTGCTCCCCTTGAGAGCTCGCCCGTGCCCAGCAAGGCGTGACGTGGAGGCCGTGGCCTCGACGGGAAGAACTTCTGCGCAAGCTTGTGACACGTATGTCTGCACCAGGAGTCGCTCTGGCAAAAGGTCACTCCCACGCGCAGCCGACGAGGAGAAGATCGGACGACGGAAGAACTGGCCACCCCAAGGAGGAGGCCAGACCTCGAGCCCGGAACGCCCGCGACCCCCCACCACCGGGCCAAAGTCACCCCCAAGGACCTCCTTCGGCGGCGTGCCCAGGGGGGAAGACAACGTGGGGCGGCCCAAGACGCCACCAAGAGGCCCTCCAAGAAGGCTCCAAGACGCCAAAATCATTGACTTTGCATAGGTTTTTTTGGCGGAGTTCGTCATTTGCGCCTTTTCGGCCTTCCGACGGCCCAAGACGGCCCAAGAGGCCGCCGTCTCGGAAGGCTCAGAATCCTGCTGCGAATCTTTCCAAGGCTTCTCCGAAGCCCTCTCTCACTTCCCCCCTCTCTGCGAGGCGGGGATGTATCCATATCCACCGCCTGGGAACCGACGTCCTGGTGCCCCAGCGGGCGGTGGATATGGATATACTTCGGCCCCCAGGGGCCCGAATATGCCCATATCCACCGCCTGCCGAGGCTCCGAAAACTGACCCTCCAGGCGGTGGTCATGGATAAATTCCCGCCTCGGACTCTCACTTCCCCCTCTCGCTTATCCCCCCTGCGCGCGGCCGGCTCCCGTGGAGCGGGCCGCACGGCTGGACCCCCCCCCAGAAGCAAGCATAACGATGGGAACGAAGACCTCGACGACCGGAGCTCTTTGATTCGCTGGCCCCCGGGGCCCCTCCAGCGCGTTCCCAGCGATCGGATCTCCACTCTGTGGACCCGGCCCAAAACATCAGAAACAAACCAGTGCGAGTTAGTTCGGGTGCGCCGAAAGATGGTGGAGCTCGGAATAGGGGGTCAGATCATGGCACGAGCATGTGCGCGAGAGAGGGGTAGCCAGGGGGCGCATTGGAAGATTAATAATAATAATGATGATGCTAGTAATAATAACAACAATAATAATAATTATTATTATTATCATTCTTATTATAACAAGAATAATAATAATAATAATAGTAATAATAATGATGATAATAATAATAACAACAACAACAACAATAACAATAACACTAACAATAACAATGATAATAATAATAATAATACTAATAATGATAATGATATTACTACTATTAATAAGAAGAAAACGAATAAAGATAAAACAGTGAACAAGACGACGAAGAAACAACATGACCAGAGCCATATATCTGGGAGACTTTGTGGCCTTGGCCACGACATCCACACATCCCCAGCCTTACCCCAAGCTTCGACCAGAGGCCTCCCAAGAGGATTCCGCGTGCGAACCGACGGGGAGAAGGACTCGGAGGACGAGGAGCAGGAGGTGGGCGACGAGGAGACGGAGCGCGAGGACGATGAAGACGAGGAGCGGAGCCTGGTGCCAGCGGCTGCAACTACAGCTGCGAAGAGAGAGGACCGAGCGATAGCCACGGCAGGGGCGGGCCTGCGCCAGCTGCCGCTGCAGAAGCGCGGCCGCCGCCGCTCCCGCGGCGGCAGCGGCGGAGGGCTGCTGCGGCAGACCCGCCATCGCCGCGAGCGCCTTCGCGCGCGACGGTCACGGCGGCGGCGGCAGCGCCGAGGGCTGCAACGACGGCGGCCGCGGTGGCGGCGGCGACCGCGACGGCGGCGACGGCGGCGGTGACGGCGGCTGCGGCGAAGGCGGCAACGGCGACGGCGACGACGGCGGCGACGACGGCGGCAGCTGCATCGGCGTCGCCGGCGACGGCGAAGACGGCGGCGTCGACAGCTGCGACAACGACGGCCGCGGCGGCGGCCGAGACGGCGACGGCGGCGGTGACGGCAACAGCGGCGGCGACGGCGGCGACGGCGGAAGCGCCCGCGGCGGATACGGCGGCGGCGGCGGCGGCGGCGCTGGAGGCGACGGCGGCGGGCGGCGACGGCGGCGGCAACGCCGACGGTGGGCGGCGGCGACGGCGACGGCGTCGACGGTGGCGGCGGCGACGGCGGCGACGATGGCGGCGACGGGGCGGCGATGTCACGGCGGCGACGGTGGCGGCGACGGCGGCGACGGTGGCGACGGCAACGGCGGCGGCGGCGACGGCGGACGCAACAACGGCGGCGACGGCGAAGGCGACGGCGGAAACGGCGGAAACGGCGGCGGCGGCGGCGTCGGCGGCGACGGCGACGGCGGCGACGGCGAGCGGTGACGGCGGCGGAGGCGGCGAAGCGGCGGCGAGGCGGCGGTCGGCGAAGGCGACGGCTGAGGCGGCGCGGGCGGCTGCGGTGACGACGACGACGGCGGCGCGACGGCGGCAAATGCGAGCGACGGCGGCGACGGCGGCGACGTTGGGGACGGCAACGGCGGCGGCGACAGCGGCGACGGCGACGGCGGCGACGGGGCCAGGAGACGAGGTGTCTGGTAATTGAAAAAATCTTGGGCAGAATGGACTGGCACCCAAGCTGCGGTGAAAGAGCGCCAATTTGGAGGGGAAATTGCCCTCTGTCGTCGCAGGCAAAATCTGAACGCCACCACAATGCCTGGCCATAACCATGCCGAGCCTTACGATGGCACATAGCCCCGCCGGACTTCGGCCAGGAAGGCGTGACCACACACCATGCCAGGGCCCGGGATGGAGGGGTCATGGTGGAAACGGGTCCTGGACCCTGGGCGGCTCCCCAGCACCAGCGTTTCATCCTGACCCGCGTTGCGACGCGATCGCATGACCAATGAGTAGTGGCATGTCTGTGCCCCCGACGGCACTGGTGTGAAAGGGGGGCAGCCCAATGGAAAAAGAACTGGCCAGGGCCGGACAGGCCACCAAAACTGCAACAGAGAGAAGGGGGAACCAGCCAGGGCCAGGACCAGTGACCGGCTGGCCCCGGCCGCTTTTCCAGGCTCCCCGGTACAGGATCGTGCCTCCTGGCATCGCCGTCGCGGCCGCCGTCGTCGGCCGAGGCTCGCCATGCACCCTGGTCCTTGAAGTTTGGTATGCAGGCGGAATGGCAGGAAAGCCAAGCCGACAATTTAGCGATAACTCCTGCTTGCCTCTTCCGGCATCGCCGCTATAATGATGTTAGTCGTTATCTGTCCTCCATGCTTATTGTTTTTATGTTCGCCATACCCTTTTTTTGCGGAGGCGCGCCCCCTGGGGGGGAAGCGAGAAGGGGCAGGCTCTCTCGGAGGGCGGCGGGGCCGCGGAGAGAGGGCACGGCCAAAACATCTGCGCGGCAGGCCTCCGAGCAGGGGCCCTCATCCGCGGCCTCGGAGAAGGCTCCGGCAGCTTCTCGGAAGGCCGGGCGGACGCCGAGGGAGGGGGAGGCGGGGGAGGAGGGGGAGGAGGAGGAGAGGAGGAGGAGGAGGAGGAGGGGAGGAGAAGGAAGGAGGAGGGAGGGGGGAGGTGGGAGGAGGGAGGAGGAGGGGGGAGGAGGGAGGAGGGAGGAGGGAGGAGGGGGGAGGGAGGAGAAGGAAGGAGGGAGGAGGGAGGAGGGAGGAGGCCTCCCGAGCTCTCGGAGACAGCCCGCCCCCTCTGCCCTCCGCCCGTGGGCGCTCCGCCGGCTCCCGTCGTCGCCGTCGCGGCCGCCGCCGTCAGACCAGGCCCTGCAGTGTTGCCACCAGGGCCGCTGGGCAGGGCACGAAGGGGCTGGTGCTGGCCCTGGCGAGCCTCGGCCACGAAGGGGTACCCCGACCCAGGCCTGAGGAACGGCACGAAAACCTGAGCCCTCTCTGAACCCAACGAATGCAGAGGGCGAGAACATTGGGAACATCACCAAGACGGAACGCAAAAATGTAGTGCCGATCTTGGTCACCGTGAATCTTGGGCAGCGTCAGCTCGTGGATATGCTCCTCGCGAGGGGGCGGCGGAAAGCATGGACCATGATCAAGACCGGCGTCGCCAAGATCCTGCGACATCTGGGCCATGGTCAGTGTTTTCCTTGCCTCGCTGTGCAGTGGCAGCGCCCGTGGGTGCACCGACGCCGCGGCCCGACTGGTGCCGCGGCCCCCGCTGCCGCTGCTGGCCGCGCCGGCGCACTCAGCAGGGAATTCTTCTGCGTTTTTGAGTGCCCTCCACCCCCTCCTGTCCTTCGCGGCCGCCCTGTCTGTCTACAGTCGGGGCGTTGACCTAAGGAACCCTAAATAAGGAACGAGGCCCCTTTTTTCCATGAGTGAACCTTCGATTTCCTGTCGGAAACATAAGGAAAGCCTGAGGCAAGCTGCGAAACACTTAAGGAACGCGGAGCCCCTCTCCAACGAAAAGGGTTCCCTCTTCGCGGCCGCCCCGTCTGTCTGGCTCCCCCCGCCGGCCGCTTCGCGCACGGGCTGCCCCGGATCGCCGCTCGCTGGTGCAGCTCTGCCTCGCCGCCGACGCAACAAGTTCCTTGCCTCGCAGGCGGTCCTTCTATCAGCGTCTCGACCACTCGCCATCGCTCGGACGTCCACTCCCTGTGCTTTTTTGGGGTTTCGTGCGTGGCTTTTTCGCCAAATGATCAAGGATGCTCCTCGATGGTCCTCGCCGAAGGAAACATGCACACGTCCGAGCGATGCCAAGACCAGGCGGGCGCACGGCCCCGCGCCTCCGCCGCGGGCGGCCCTGCGCGCGGCCTGCGCGCCCACCCCGGCCCGCGCCCCGAGGCCCGCCCGGGCGGGCGCCGCGCCGGCGCAGCGCCCCCGCTCGGCGCGCGATTGGAGCCGCCGCGGCCGCGGGCCCACCCCCCGCCCTCGCCGCCGCCGCTGCAGGCGTCGGCGCCCGCGGCGTCGTCGGCGTCGGCGTCGGTGAGGCCGTCGTCCGCGGCGGCGGCGGCGGCGGCGTGGTCGGCGGCTCCGGCGTCCCCGCCCTCGCCGGCGTCGGCCTCGGCCTCGACGACGGCGGCGGCGTCGGCGGCGGCGGAGTCGGCGTTGTCGGCGTCGGCGGCGGCGTCATCTTCGTCGGCGGCGGCGGCGGTGTCTGTCGAACCGAACCGAATCGTCGGAAAGCAGCAACCGCACCGGACCGAACCGAACACAGCAATCGACCCAACCAAACAGACCCGACGCCAACGACCTCGACGCAGCCGAACCGACCGAAGCGTCGCAACATGTATGCACACGCCCAAAATCAAACGTGTGCGGAAAAATGGGCAGGATGCCTACCAGCAAAAAGTGCCCAAGACTGGCAGCGGTCGCTGCTGGGCAGGCGGCCACCTGTCTCGAGTGGACAACGTCCGCGGCGACACCAACAACAGGTCCTGCTCAAAATGGGCAGGATCTGCCGCCGCTCTTCGTCAACATTCTTTCTGTACCCATGATGATCGTGCCGAACTTCCCCACACTACTATTAAGTCGGGCCTGTCCCCCTACAGGGGCATTTTCGACGACAAATAGAAAATACCCCAACAAAAAATTCAAAAAATAGTTCAAAACTAGTCCGGAGACTATTTCTTAAGTATTTGTTTACCTCTTTGGGGTATGTTTGGGGTATTTCTTGTTGTTCGTCGAAAATCCCACTGTAGGGGGACACGCCCGACATAATACTACTATCAAGGATCATGTCTTCTTCGGGGAAGCGTGCACCAAGGAGGCCGTGGTGGCGAACCAAACGGGTATGTGCCGATACCGCTGCTCCCCAGGCCTCTCCTGGGGTGCGTTCTGACCAGACTTGCGAAGCGACTCCAGCCGTGGCGACGAGGGCCACCCGAGAGGCCCCAAGAAGGCGAAAACGAGGCCAGGGTAGCGTCAGCGGTGCACGTCGGTCGGAAGAAGTAGGTAAAAGCATGAAGTAGGAAGGCGGATAATTGACGTAGGTTGGGTTCGGGCCCGCCCAGAGGATAACAAGACGCAGCAAAATCATGTCGATTCTAGAAGCAGGAGGGCGCTTGAAATAAATTGGGATCTGGGGTTCCAGAAATGCCTAGCTTCAAAGTCCGGCGTGAATTCTGGATGGGACAATCATCGCCGCCCCTTGAATCCGCTGGGGGGGTTGGTCACGTGCTGTCGGCAGCGGTGGAAAGGGGGTTGGAGGAAGAGGAGGGAGAGGAGGAGGAGGAGGAGGAGGAGGAGGAGGAGGAGGAGGGGGAAGAGAACGGAGGGGGCAGGATTGGGCAAGCTCCGTCGGGAGGTCAATCACCCCCCCTTTAGAAATACCCCATCCAGAATACCTTCTCCTCCTCTGACTCGGGCGTTGGCAGAACTGGGTTCGGTGGGACCTGGTTGAGTGATGTGTACTGGAAGACGCCCCCCCTGCCCCGCTCCACGAACCGGAACTGCCCCGCCGCCCGAAAAAGCACTAGGCACGGCAGACCTGGTTGAGCGATTCTGGCCCGTTGAGGGGCTCCGGGGCCCTACCACTAACCGGGTCCCCTTGCCTGCCATCGCTCGGACGTCCATTCCCTGTGTTTTTTTGTTGGTTTCGTGCGTGGTTTTTTCGCCACATGATCAAAGGATGCTCCTCGATGGTCCTCGCCGAAGGAAAAATGCACACGTCCGAGCGATGCCAAGCTTACCTGGGGTCCTGACCAAACCCGATGGTCACCGTATCGGATGCCTGCTCTTTGTGCGAGTAGCGGTCTGCCGATCCGCGCGCTGGCCGCCTCGCGGCGCGGCGGCG